AGATAAGTAGGATGTGGGCTTGGATTAGGGAAACAATGAAGCAGCTTTAGCTAGCTCTAGCAACACTGAAGAAAGGACACGCTGTACAAACTGCACTGACTAACACTCTCACATCAAATGAACCTTTAATACACTCATGACACAGCACGACTGCTTTTCTCTGTTCTCACCCTGACACATTAAATATTACTTTTACGTGTGACAAGTTGGTCAATATGGCATGTAGAGTCACAAAAAGAGGAAAACACTGTTGCCTAATATTTCATCTATTGTGGCAGAACAGAGAAGTCAATGCAATACTATACAAAAGGGTAACTGACTTTCTCAGGGCTGTTGATTGTACTGCTGCTGGTCCTAATGTTGATGTGTGTTTAAACAATGTTCTCTCACAGACTGCTGCTATTGGAAGCATATAGGTTCAAGTCTTACTAAAGGTGTACTATTCCTCCTATGTTCAGACTTGGCAAAGATATTTATAATTCATTTTCTCAGCATAAGTGAGGTGAACGAGACTGGTTTCCTGCCAATTGAAAAAGACACCTTATACTCGCCCTATTTGCACTAATGAAATTGAGCTGTCGGGAAGGGACTGTGAATCCTCTGCTCATAAAGTGACAAATTGGAACCGACTGTAGATTAATCTAGTATTTATGTATATACTTTTTTTTTACATCACTATTAGAAAGTCCCTTACCAAAGTTATTTAACCTTATCATTCACTCAAGGTTACTGAATTAGAATCAATATATATTTTTTGCTGCATAGATTTACCTTTACCCTCAAACTCACTTTTCTAGCTCATCCAGTCATGGCAGATGTCTATTCACCAATGAGGCTAGGTCTGCTTCAGGTTTTCACATATTTAAGATAAGTTAGGCTATTCATTGCCACTGTTGCAAGGGCTTCTCTTAGTGGATTATTGTTGAGTTTCTCTCAATAATATAAAAAATAGGACATAAGTAAGCATTGGAGGTAGCCAACTTCAAAAAGGATGGACGGATGCATATTCTTCCAGGTTTTCAAAAACAAAATGCACAGCGTAGCAAAAGGAATACAGAAGCAGTGTGATTATCTGCTTTGACACAAGATGACATTTTCAGCATATCCATCGCAAAAACATTACTAGCTACAGCAATGATAAAGCATTAAGCTCATTGTTTGATATCTACATCAGTTTGAGAGGTAAAACACTTTAACAATGTTACCTAGGATACCCTGTCATTTGGCAAATGTGTCTGTTAGTCTTCAAGGTCATCCTCAAAATCCTTTATTTTTCAAGTTGTATAAGCTAGGCAGCCAAAGAGTTGTATGAGGCACAATAAGTGTGACACTGAGTTCACCATAGGATTAACTCACCAACTAACAATACATTTTATTGCATAATATCATAGAAATGTGTCAAGCACCATACAATTGTCTCTCATCTTTTACAAGATTCTCAAGTCAGCTTTAAAACATCAACATAGGGGTGCTGGTGGTGCAGTGGTTCGAGCGCGCGCCCCATGTATGGAGGCTGTAGTCCTCCAAGCAGGCGGCCCAGGATCAAATCCGACCTCTGGCTTCTTTCCCGCATGTCATTCCCTACTCTCTTTCTCACTGATTTCTGACTTTATCCACTGTCCCATCTCTCCAATAAAGGCACAAAATGGCCAAAAATAAATCTTTAAAAAAAAAAACATCAACATCAAATGAGGAGACAGTGTTTTCAACCGTTCACTGAAAACACCAAGCCAAATTAGCTAGCTAGCTGATTCACAAACATACTAGAGACTGCTGTCATTAGAGGTATTCATGTTTTTCACTACCCCTGTCTATAATAACTTGTCAAGCACCATTAAAACTCATTTTCCAGGATTCTTGAGTCTATTTTTAGACATCAACATCAATAGAAGTCTCAGTTTCCAACCATTTGTTATTTGTTAGCTTAACTACCTAGCTGGCTGCTGATTCACAAACATAGGCTACTCGTAAATCCTAATTTCTGGCCCAAAATAGAAGCATTCCAGCTTTGACATCCTATTTGAAATGAAGGAGCTCTGTTTCTGAAAATTGTATGAATTTTAATGTTTTCTTATACTTTTATGATAACAAATCTTTTATGCAAGAATGCTCAACTTAAAAGGCATGGCCACAGCAGCTAATGAAGCAGGGATGAGCCAGCAAACGGTCAACTGCTGATAAAGAAACATAAAGATTAAAGCTGCCACTTTTTGTTGGCCATGGTAGAAAGATCAGGGGTTTTCACAGAATATCTGTGAACTGAAATAAACTTTAATTAGGAGGATTTTTTGCATTTTAGTTGCAGCAAATTAATGTCTCCCAGTACCCCAGTGTCTGGGCTCTGGTGTAATAAAACCAGCCGGGCTGGATAAATCTTAACTGCTTAAGGAAAGTGCACTGAGATAGCTTTTAAGGCAGCTAAGCCAAAGACATAATGCACCAGGGATGATGCAGCTCTTAAAGTTTATAATACAGCGATGACTTTGTTTCTGTTTTGTCACTTGTGTGCATCCTCTACTGATTCTCTGTGTCAGTTTATGCAACATTTACAGGACCTCTAACCGAGCATTGCACACAAGCAAGGGTTGTATTTCAAAGCATTCAATGAGGGGTTATTTGATACACTTTGCCGTAAACACTGTCAGTGTTTCATCTCCTGTTGCTTAGTGGCAGCTCAGTTTTTCATGTGTTTCAGCTGCCATGGCACTATCACTGAACTCTGCAGGGTATGCAGTCCATGTCTCTGTTTTTAATAACACTGCAGGCATTGTGGATTTAAAGCAAAAAGTGGATTTTAAGTGAGATGGTTTGGATATGCAGGGAAAACAGTGAGCTTTAATTGCTGTTAATCCTTATATGGGTGTGAATACAACTTTATTTCAACACTTCAATTTGCTGAACACAGCATAATACATGGGACCTCAATTTCCAATTATCTGATACAGTCATTTTAGGTTTGGTCGGTACCGTAAAGCACGTGTTGAGCCACAAATCCTGAAGGCTAATAATTGCATCTTTTTCCGGTTAAGATCTCCGTCAATTGATTTGATATACGTAGGCAAGAGCTATCAGACTTTTTTGACATAGCAACTTAAATTATTAACATTAAAGAATCATACAGACCTAAGATTCACGTATATGTTTTAAGCTTGAAGAGTAAGTCAGAGTGGCAACATGTGAATCTGCTTAGCTTAATTATTTTGGAGCTAAAAAGGAGATGCATGTCCAAAGTCATTTTATAAAGATTGCAAGTCAACTCCTGCACATCATCTTACTTACAAAAATACATTTATTTGCAAAGTTTGGGCAGTCCATCCCTGGACATCCCTCTGTACAGCTGTGGCTCAGTTGGTAGAGTTGGTCGTCTCTCACCTGGAAGGTTGGGGGTTCAATCCCCAGCTCCTGCAGCCACATGTACAATGTATCCTAGGGCAAGACACTTAACCCCAAGCTGCTTCATTAGTGGTGTATGCATGTTTGAATGGAATTAGTTTCTGCTGATGGACACTTTACACAGCAGCTTCTTACAGCAGTGTGAAAATGGGTAGCTGTGACATGCGGTGTAAAAGTGCTTTGAGTAATCAGATGACTAGAAACTTGCTATACAAGCCTAAGTCCATCTACCATTATCCACATATTATCAGGGACTGTCTCTTAACAATTACAAGGCCTCTATTTTTATGTGACCAAAGGTGATTAAAAAAGATGTCAACTCTGGAATTAGAAGTAAAAACTACATCAAAAACTAGAAGAGATGTAGTTTGACAAAAGGGATAAGGAGTATTGGAGTCCCTAAAACAATGAAGAACAGATTGGATATATAAGACCTTAAGTTTTAAACATAAGAAAACACATCTAACTAAAAGCTTCTGTGAGGAATGTCCCACTGGATATGAAACAGACTGTTTTTATATTGATGCAGCAAAAGCAAATGAGATCATCAGAATTAAGATGAAGTATTTCTATACAATAATTGTAATGCCTGAAGCGGCTGCTGCTGCTGCTGCTGCTGGAAGGTGTCAGGCGAGGCGATTAAAGCACACTGCAGAAATAGCCTCTGGTTTTCCACATCAAAGATTCAAAGAGTATTAAATCTGGTTTTTAAAAAATAAAAAGCAGGAGGAAATTCTGGTCAACAACGCTACATAACATGTACAGAACAAATATATAAAGAAGAATGAAAGATTCTCACCGGAGCTATAAAGGAACGGAAGGAACAGAGATGATGAAATTATTGATTTGAATCGAATTGACATTTAATTGAAGCACAATGCATCAAAGCAGCAGAGCTATACAGTTAATCAGACACCGGTTATAATGCCAAAGGGATGACAGGGATGCACACATCAGTGTTTTTACTTAAAAATACTTAGATTATAGAGTGGTGTTTGCAGAGGCGATTCTAGAGTCTGTTGGGGCCCTGGGCAAAAATCAATTGGGGATCCTCCAACCATCGTTCATCTCCATCATGTCTGCCAGTGTCCCGACATTTACTCCTCTTCCACTTTATTTCATGTCTAATTTTTGTCTGTTAATGTTGACAGATAATTCCTCTTGTTTTTTTCACTGTACTCTTTCATTGAAAAACTTTTACAGCAATAATTCATGCAACGGTTAGCAGGGCAATGAGAGTGAGTGCTGTCAGATGGGGCCCCCTTAGGGAGGTTTCCTACTGTCGTTGCAAACTTTGCACATGGCTTTGGTTTATGGTTTGTGAGCCCTAAGGGGTCCCCTATTGGTCTGCAGCGCCTCTGGTTGTTTGTATTGTTTGTATTTCTAACATCTACCTAAACAGTGATGTATGATGTGATGGCTATAGTCACATGTCTTGGAATCCAAGCTCCTCACTGGACTGTACATTTCTCATCGCCTCAGCAAACAGAAAAAAATAACTGTGTGAGCAAGATTTTAAATGTCATAATTTGTATTATCCGCTTAATTCGTCTGATATGTCGTATTTACTGAATGTCTTCTCTTTTGACAGGTGATGAGTGGGATTATATCATGTCTGAAGTACAGGGAACACTGGAGTTTTCTGTAGAGCTGCACAAGTTTCACAATGTGGATCTCTTTCAAAGAGGGTAAGCAACACTCTGCAGAGATCACATGATGTTTGTTTCTATTGCTCAGTTACACAGATGGACACTCAGCATGAACATATTCACACATGAAGAACAAAAAAGATTACATTTACTAAAACAAGATTTGGTCAATAAGTTTGAAGCTGTAAGTGACACAGTATACCTATAATATGAGACGTTGCCTTTGCTATTCAAGTACGGGTAAGTTCACAACAGATTGCTTTTGCCATTATTTTAAGAGTTTTATCAACTGATTTAAGCATAGTGGAAATGCTAAACACATGCACTGCCAAATGAAAATGTAGAAACAGATGGATGGGGATTTTGAAATAAAGAAAGTACAATGTAAATTATCTTGTAAAGAGATGTTCCCACAACACTGGTTTTAATTTAGTGTGACAAAGACTGGCCTGTTGTGTTTACAGGATTCACTACAGCTAGAAAAAGGTTACAAGTCTCACCTGAGCCTCATCAGGTGTCCATAATCCCCTGACAATGTTTGCAATGACATAATGTCTGATTTAATTGTGTATTGCTATTCAGGATGGGTTCAACGTACGTGCCATACACATCAATCCAACAAAATGATATTGAATGAATTTTAAATGATATATTTTGACAATGGATATTTAAGCTCCTGTGAGGAGTTTTTAGCTGTTAATGAAACAGACTGAATACTTAATACTGATGCTTCTATGATTTACAGAAGCAAACAGGACAATCACCAACAAGACTGAGTATTTGTATTTAGTTATTCTATGAGCCTGCAACCCCTGCTGCAGGGTAGGTGTCACTAAAGCACACTGTCAAAACAGCCTTTTTGGGAAATTATCCAAGAATCATTGTGTGTGTTCGTAAAGACAGATGATCATTTTGTTAGAATACTCTTCCAACAAATGTACAGAAAGAGAACAGCAAAGTGATAAAAACGTACACTTTGTTCATTGGGGGCGCCAAAAGTGACAAAAACCTAAATAGCTCTTTTAAGTAGTTTTAAGTTTACTGTTCAACAGAAGTCAGTGAAGCAGCAGCTGACTTATGTGGTGATAAAGAGTGATAATTGCTAAAGGACGGTTCTTCCAGATTTCAGTAGCTACTATGATGTGATACGATTACAACATATTACGATGCGATATGATACGACAATATAATGATATGACAAGATATGATATGAGACGATGCAATACAACATGCTGTGATACGATATGACACGGTACTATACAATACAACATGGCAAGACAAGATACTTTTCTACATCATATGATGTAATACGACGCAACATGATACAATACTTCTCATTTGCCCCATGGAGAGATTTGCCTTGGATTCCAGTATTGCACAAATTTTACTGCCGCCACCACATCATTTATAAATAGATGCCAATAAAAAATAGAAACAAACAACAAGTACAATATGTAAACAGAGAAGCACATATACCAATGTAAAACAGGAACAACATATTGCACATTTCCTAGATTGCACAAGATCCGTGTAAAAAAACACACAACAGAAGTAAGAGTAAAAGATTAAAAAGATAAGAAATTATTAGAACACATTAGAAGTTTTGCAAAACCCGTACAGTCTTAAGGAACATTATTCAAAATGTTGATTGAGGAGGCACAAACAGATGTTTTTAAAGGCAGATTTATATTTAATTTGGCTGCACCAATAAGAGGAATAATCAGTCTGGGTAAAAGGTCAGACACAACATTGTTTACCTCTCCAGTTCAGCCAAAAATGTAAGGACAGAGAAAGGGTCATGTGTGTTCTGCAGAGATGTGTCTGCAAGAAGATTAAAACCTCTCACCGGGTGGCCCGCTGATTTGCTGAAACACCGGCTTTATCAAAGTGATTTTTCCTCTGTAAATGGGATGGGCTCAAGCTTTATGATGGTAATCCCCTCAGCTGAGTGCACTGTAGTCTGTCTGTTTTTATTGGTGTCCGCAGTGCTTTAGATAGCAGCCGATATCTGATGTGAACACCATATATACGTGTATCCCTTTGTAAAAATGCAGCCCTGTGGAAGAACAGTTCAGTTACCAGGACCTACAGTATGCATCTTAACACCAAGCAGCACTTAAACCAATATAAATTCTAGTACCAGTGTTGTGGAGAACACAGCTGTTGTTCACTGATTGCATTAGAAATACAGATTGAATCTGCATTTGATTTGCAAAAGGATCGTTGGCAATAATCATGACACATTTGCTTTTCACTGTGGGGGGCAAATTAGCAACTAAATGATTAAGATACACATATGAAAGCACAGCTGCATTTTCTTAATTTTATTTATCCAAGTTTAATTGTTCAGTTAAAGTTCCATTGTCCTGTAGCATCAAGAAAACACAAAAAAGGGCCTTCTAGCCTCTTACTAGTAAACGATAATGCACTATATTTAAACATTCATCCTACAAATATATAAATCTCCCCTGTGAGAGATAGTGCATTAGCACCTGACCACTTACTGGCTATTGACTTGACCTATTTCATCCCGTAAACAGCTGTTACTTATTTATCGACCCTCAAAACCTTTTCCGTGCTCCTCTGTGTCAAGCCTCCGTCTTCCCGAGCGTTGTCACTAACACACTGATGTGATGGCTGTGTTCACAGCCACACTTTGGGCTCTCAGACTGCCAATGTGTCCCAAGAGAGCTGAGATGTGCTTTTACACAAAGCTGTGTCGACTTGAACTGTCAAAGTGACCTTTTGAAAGACGTGTTTTCCAATTGCTGCCAAGTGGATATTACATAAAGAATCGTTAAGTCAGTAGGACTGCTTTATAATGATTTACATTTTAAGCAACCCTGTTCTGTTGTATTTATGTTTTAGTTTTGAGCTTAATTAAACAAAGTTCCCATTGGAGATCTATCTCCTATTTTATTGTTACCTTAAATTTACCAATTCTTTAAAATTGGAGGCCCAGTACTAACCTGTTATCACACTTCACAGCCTTCTAACAGAGGTGCATTGTTATGTCTTTTTCAATATTTAAACCCATTTGTCCACCATGCTTGAATAATTCAGAAACATTTAGTTCATGGATGATTTTGTTTAACATGACATTATTAACTTCTCATCCATGTCATGAAGATCATTTCTGAAGCTAAAAACTGTACGTGTAAAGGTTTGTACACAGAACCTGTCTAGTCAAGGCTTAAACAGAGCATCATGAAGTCCCACAACGGTCAATTCTGGTCTCACTGAGTAAAAATTCAAATATTAAGGGCATAAATGTGTTCTCGGTCATGTCAACGATGACAGTCCCCCAAAAACGTCCATATCAGACACTATTTACCTTATTGCATTCAGGGCTGAAGATATCAGGGCTTATTTCAGGTTATGTATTTCTAATGAGCTGCTGAAGGATTCTCACATTACAAATTATTTTAAATGGAAATGTTTACAACATGCTTGTTGTAGTCCACTCAGTTTTACCACCATGTTCCTTTATTTGTCATACAGCTCTACACGTTCTCTGAAACAAGTAGCCTCATTGAATCCTTACTTTTATTTACATTTGTTCATGTTAGGTATCTCTAGGGATGTATTTAGAAAATACCCAGCAGGTATTAAGCTAATGATCCGTCTAACTTTTGTTCTCATTTGAAACTGAACAACTTCTTAATGCAACTGCACTGTAAAACCTCAAATCTTGGTTAAATGTATTTCATTAAACTTATTATAAGCCACAGTCATCTGAATAGTCCAGAAAAAAACATTTTATAAAGATATAAAGAGCAAAAAAGAATGAGTAAAAAGTATCTGCCAATGAAGCAAGCAAATTTTACTTGAAAAGAGATGTGCTATCTTAGTCCAAACTAGACAGACACACTTGCTGAGATTTGAGATTGTTTTGACAGTGTACTTGTATAGTTGAAATTCTTCATCAAGTGTTGAGAAAAAACTTCAAATCTTTGAAATGTTTTCAAAGTCAGGATTCTCTCTCTCTTAGGATTCCAGCTACATTTCAAGTATTTTTTTCATTAACACCATAGATTTTTCTACATCGCAAAGATACAGTTGGGGTTCAAGTATAGTATCATTAAAACAAACAGCATGAATCCATATCCAGCCGTGAGCTATTTCCATGAAAAAAGAAAGTTGTTATGGAGCCATATTTCGCCTTTTGTTTCTTAAGCTTTGTTAAAGAGACCTGACTGTGTGTTATACAATTCCCATAATGCATTGCTTGATTTCTCATGATCATTTGGACATAACAGTTTAGACATGTATTCTGTTCTGTTGTGTAACTCTTCTGTGTGTGTCCTCTCTCAGGTTCTATCAGGTCCGAGCAGGGTTAAAGGTTTCACCTCGAGTGCCCCACAGGGTGATAGCGACAACACAAGACAATGCAGGTAAGGAAAAATGTACCATCACATAAACAAGCACACAAATGATATTCACTCATAGAATTTACTGGCCTCCCTACCCTAACCTCACTCCCCAAGCTCCCAATATGTTAGATCTGTTCTGGCATCCTGTTTTTGAACTTCGATGATCCCATGGCATGTTGTATTTGTGCAGCAAACACCTTTTGTTTTGAGGCATGTGTCGAAACGGATGATGTCAGGTTTAACAGACAGAACTTGTTCTGTTATAGATTAATCTTGAAACCCATCAGCCATCATCGTCCATCATCATCTGATAGGCGAGATTTTCCCCCTTCAGTAAAGCCAGCGATCAGTGGAAAATTACTTTCAGGCAAGACTTCTTTTTCTGTGTTGGGTTTCCGTCTGCAGCGTAAACACCTTAATTTCTTGGTCAAAAACATCCCGGAGTAGTGCCTGTTCATCTTGTGTCTCAGTTCAGCAGTGGAATAGAAGTTAAACATTTAAAAAGCAGACATCTGTTTATGGAGATCAATACATCATTGTTGGAATACCATCAATGGGAGCTGGCATTTCATCAGCGCTGATGATCTTCCACCTGTTTCCTTGCTGTTCACACGGTTTTCTCTGGGCATATCAAAGCCTGCTGAAACATAATTATTCAATACAGCTTGGACTATAAATGTATTACAAACAGAAACCAGAATTCGACCCATGCTACAAAAATCCAGAACCCTGTACATCAATCCGTCCATCATCTATACCCGTTATCCTGTTTGGTAACATGGGTCACTGAAGTCGATCCTTGCTGTTATTGGGCGAGAGGCGGAGTACACCCTGGACTGGTCACCAGTCAGTCACAGGGTTGACATATAAAGACAAAAAACCGGGCAAGCTCGAACTAACACCTAAGGCCATTTACAGAGTCACCAATTAACCTAACGAGTATGTCTTTGGGCTGTGGGAGGAAGCCAGATTGAACACTTGAATGCACAAAGAGAACATGCAAACGCCACACAGAAAGACCCTGTCTGATGGGGACTCCAACCAGGAACCTTCCTGCTGTGAGGCAACAGCGCTAAGCACTGTACCACCATGCAGCCCCTCTGTGTACCGATTCTTGATTTTTTATGTAGAATCTGTAAATATAGATTAGTCATAGATAAATGATTAGACAATTGCTGTATCCACACATACACAATACTCTGGAAAATGTCCTGAAATTGGATGAAACAGTCACATTTTTCACCCTGACTTCTGCCAGCCTCTTCCCTGCATGAAATCAGCGTGTTATTTAGAAACATTCACAGCAGGCAAGCAGGAGGGGGTGCTGACAATTACATGACCAGCTTGATCTTTGGGCACATACCGAAGCTGTTTCATACCCTTTTCTGCCAGTATGTTATTTTCCATTCCTTCATTGATACTGTGACTATGTCCAAATAACAATGAATTACAAAGATAGAGAGGCTAAGACTGTCACAAGTTTGGACTCTGCTTCACCCACTGTCCTGGATATATTGTAAACATTAAGTCAGTTGTGACTTTCTTACATCATATCCTGTCTTTTGACCCCCCCAATGATCTACTTTCAGGAGTGTAGTATATGAAAACATGAGTCCTCAGTTTGGCACAGAAATGCATAAAGCTCCCCATTCCTCAAACTTAGCAGCAACACACCCAGTCTGAAAGCGGTCTTTTTGCGCTTCTTTGTAGTCAATTTGCATCCTTCTGTTGTCATTTTGCATCATGGGCTTTTATTGACAAATTATGGTAATTGCTTTATTCTGCAGTTTAAATCTTGTTAGAACAGAATTTGTTTCACACACTGTTGTTCACATTCTCAGGGGGACTGAGTGGGAAAATCGCACTCCACAAAGGGAATTGAATCACATGCATTGTGAGGTTTATGCTTTTCTTTGAAGTCGGTGTGTAAGCAGTTATGTTTCAGTGTTTTCTGTTAAAGCACAAACTCAGTTTCTACAGCTCCTAAAACGTTGGGACATACACAAATGAAAATAAAAAGAGAATGTGATGATTTGCAAAACATTGAAACATCGTATTTGATTGCACAAAGAAAACATGTGAAATCATAAGCCCATTTTGAATGTAATATTAGACAAAGTTGGGCAGGGTCATGTTTGCCATTCTGTTGCATCACTTCTTCTTTTAACAGCACTCTGTATCTCTTTGCATGGTAGAGTTTCAGCCAGTTGTGAATGCAGCCATGAACTGTTTTCACAAACAACAGCATCTACAAGAGTTCCTGAGCCCATGCAGCGATGTCCACTATACAGAAACATGTCTATTTTTAATGCCGTGCCATCCGAAGGCCCGAAGATATCTGCTACCCAATATTGGCTTTCTGCCTTGTTTCCCCTGCATACAGATTTCTTTAGGCTCTCTCAAACTTTGAATTATAATATGTAATGTACACAATGAAATCCCCAGACTCTTTTCAATGTTATCTCCAAAGACATTATTCTTAAAGTGTAGCACTATTTGCCAGCACAGTCTTTCACAGAGGGGTGATTCCCTCCCCATCTTTACTCCAGAAAGACTCCTGGGATTTTGTGTTGCTGGTGTCAAATTTGAAAGGGGTACATCATATTCCAAATCATCTGAAAGTTCTCTGTTTTATCATTTGACATGTTGTCTTTGTGCTAATTCCAATCCAATATGGATTTCAATTTTTTTGCAAATCACCACATTCAGTTTTAATTTACATTTTACACAATCACAACTTTTTAGGAATTGGTATTGTACATGGTAGCACATGTGTTCTCTTATTCTTTGCCTCTTCTGGATGAAGTAGCATGTTTTTGATGAGTTATGTGGATGTGGAATATTAACATTTATTTGCCTTCATTTTTTGGCTGTATATCCTACATTCATGGATTCAACAGACCTTCACATGAGGACCCCAGGAAGACTAGCTACTGTTTAACACAGAAGCTAATGGGGATCTTAATTAAAGAGCAAACAGACAAACTTTAAGACATGACTCAGGTTTTTCCTAAAATAAAGCAATCCACAGATACAGGAGGCAAATAAAACACCCATTTATTTTGACATCTGCTTATTGGGTTGAAGAGGATTTACCTCAGAAATGCATCATAAGCTTTCATTTTCATTTTGGATGAGAGCAAGATAATAAAAAAAGCAATTGATTTTTCTAAACAAGTAACTGGTGCTCAGTAAGTGATTCTATTTATGTGTTAAAGCCATTGTCCTGGGCCGTCAGGAGTTCTGCATCACAGAATGAAGAGTGGTGTCTGGGGATTTTTACGGCTCTACCTCATCTCAGTGATTTAGGACACTTGGCTGTCTTTGGGTTAGAGAGTGACTGACTCACTCTGCAGAGAATCTTGCATCTCTAATAGCTTTGAAAACCAAATGGGAACAGGATGATATAACATGTTTTGAATGCAAATTAGTATGAGCTTACTTCAACCCCAATGTCATTTTTCTGATTAATTCTTCTTTTTTTTTTCTACAGCATCTCGAGATATTTCCAAGTTGTGAATCAAATAACACTCTATTAGATTTGTTCTGCACCAGAAGGACTGTTGTCTTTCTTCTTATCAGGAACGTCAGGTTAATTTGTCAGAATCATCTTTCCAAAGCTTACAATAAAACAGCTCATCTTTAAATTAGGGCCCGACTGATATGTTGTGCATGGGGCCGATACAGATGTTGGGGAGAAAAAAATATATATCGGCCGATATCTTTCTTACATCTGTGAAATCTGTTGAGATTGCATCACCACCCTAACCCTTCGCACTCTGGAGAGTGATAATACTTGTTGTAATCCATAAAGCGCCCTCTGCTAGTGTAATACAATGAAACTCAAAACTAAATGCTACTTGACTGGTGAATAAAACTAGTAATATATCGGCACATATTTGCTGTTTACCAAATTAGCCGATAGTTCTAGTCACTGGATATCGGCCGATATTTATTGCTGGTCGATTAATGGGTCCTGCTCTGATTAAAATGCTGTATGTCAAAGACAGCGATAATAATTGGGTCTGAAACAACAGTTGCATAGTTCTTTCGTATTTACTGTAAATTAAAGTTATCTATTTTTTTCTTCAAATATCAATAGCAAAATTATCAGCTGAAGAAGACCTCTGGTCTAATCATTGATAAAAGTGATTTGGATGGATTAAAGACTTTTTGTGGCATTTGAGCAATACGATCATATCTTCTTCCTCAGTCTGCTCTTTTGCACTACCCTGCACCTAAGTGATGTGCGTTTAACAACCCCCCTTTTTCTTGATTTAAATATTGAAATAACCAGTATCAAAACATGCAAATAACTCTGTAAAAGGGTGTGAAAAAGGTGCACTTTTATTCATGCAATGTGTGTTTTCTCTCCTCTAATTCCTCATTGCTTGCAGGTGATTTATACAATGAAAGATTCCTCACATGTCTGGCCCTCTTGGTATTCAAAGGTTGTGGTGCAGTGTTTTTGTAAATTCTGAATCTACCCAAGCGTCAAATCTGGATCTCTGGCAATGCACAAAGCTGTTTCACTGGCAATACTGATTCACAGTAATAACGGCTATTTTTAGCTCCTGACTGGAGCCTTGTGTGTGTGTCTGTGTGTGTGCCAGTGTGATTATGTGTCCTGATCTCGCTGTACTTGTGAGGACTAATTCCCAACGTGGTGCGACCCTCTACTCTTACGAGGACAGTTAGGATTGTAGGAAGTTTAGGTCCAAATGATTTCAGTCTCAGTTTCAGGTTAAATTAAGACTTTAATTAAAGGAGTACAGCTTCTATTGTTGGAGCAAAGAGTCAAAAGGGTGCTAATGTTTCAATTTACATGTCCTCACAGGTATATGGCAGAGTGGATGTGGGTTGTATGTTTGTACGTGTGTGTGTGTGTGTGTGTGTGTGCGAGACACGTTCGCTGGCAGGAACATCATGGCTGATTGAGAAGGCGATGTTGTGCCTGAGATGTCAGTGATTCATGTCAATTCTAGTGTTTTCTACGCTTGCAGTGATGGGAATACCAGCAG